GGTCCGTTGTTGACAGCAGCACCTTCACGTCTCCCGCCAAACGAGACATTTCTAGCCGTGCTACATCCATATCTCGCTCTCCCAAGGCGGATGGTGTAAGCAACGAAGCCGGCACTGGCATCGCCGGTGTGCGTTCTACCTCGCTCAAGAGACAACGCCGGAACGGGGCCGGTACCGGTGCCATGCACCCCATGGTCGCCGTCGAAGTGCCGGTTATCGCGGATCGCCTCGAAGAAGGCATATCAAGCTCGATGCGGTATGAGAATGGGCTAAGCAGCCGACTCCGGACCCAACAGAAGACTCGTGCGCGATCGAGGCGTGAGGTCCCCGATACCCAGGACTGGAAGCTTCCCGGGAAACCCGTACAGCGTGTCGAAGACGACACGACCTTGTCCGACTCGGGTGGCTCGAGCGCACACTCCGACGATACGGATGGCGACTACCGCGCGAGCAGCGAAGAGGATGGCCCAATGAAACCACCTTCGAAGCGTCGTAGGCTTCCCGCGCAGCCATCCGGCCCTGCGCCGCGCCGTCCTCGGTTTCGGATCCCAAGAGCAGCAGCCGCTGCAGGTCGTGAAGGTGTCGAACGGGAGGACAGCAGGGTGCCAACGACGACTGCGAAAGACCGTTCCACGACCCCCTGGAACACGGATCATGATCCGGACACGCACGCCCACTCCCAACCTCCAATTGAAGCCGAGGGGCGCAGTTGCCCTATGCCGTTGTTGACCCGAGGGGAAGCCGTGATGCTGTCATCTACGGTGGCCCAAGTCGTTTTCGAGATGGTCACGGGCCGTCCAATGACCGCCTCAGATCTCGCGGGCGAGACGACAGCCGCGGCCGACACCGAAAGAGATTACGGCGAACGGAAGGTCGAGGGTCTGGATGGGAGAAGACGTCGCTGGACTCGAGAGGAGGAGGTCCGCCTAGTGGCCCTGAAGCAGGACGGCTTCTCCTGGACGGAGATCGAGGAGCGGTTTCCACACAGACAACTCGGCTCCTTACGGCAGCGATGGTACACAAAACTTCAGAATACGCACGCAAGCAACCCCCCCACCGACAAGCGGAGGCAAGAGTGGAACTGTAAGCGCGCCCACCTGATCCTCGTTTGTAACCCCTCAGCTCTGTGTGATGTGAGCTCGAAAAATAGTGCTTAGAAGGTGTGCTGCAGTGGGTACTGATGCCCTGCTCTTCTTGCGAACCTACTAGGTCGTGCGTCGGCCGGTGAGCCCCTTCCGATATCCAAGCCGCCCACGCCCGTCGGAACTTCACATCGCTATCCCGGCGGACAACCCCAACCAGCAGATGACCGGGCCATGCCGAATGCGAAGCCCCGCACACCATCTCCGTCCTCGACGGTGACCGCCATGTGCCCAGTGTGCAATTCTGTGGTCGAGGTGGAGGCTTCCAGTGCGTTCAATGCCGCCAACAATCGCATGCGGGTCTACGAGCAGCTACGGTTCTGCGAGAACCACCGAAAGGAAGCCGCACGGCGCGAGTGGTCCCGACTTCGCTATCCCATCATTGCGTGGGACCGCCTAGATGATCGGTTGACTCAATTCCATCCTCGCCTGCGCCGGATCCTCGATGATTCCCGGTACCGCTCCCGCTGTGAGAGTGTTGTGCACAAGAAAGTGCGAAAGCATGGCAGGAAGATCCTCTTCCGGAGTGTCCTGCACAGCACTGGCTACTATGGCCTTAGAGGCCATGAGATCCTGTGAGTGAAGAAACACCCCTCCACCCCCACCCCCAATCCCGACCCTGCGAACCCACCGAGGAACCTCTTCACTGACCTTCCCCTCAGCTCAGCGCATGTTGTGTCTCACTTTAAAGATGCCATCGACTCACTGGCCGGCATCGATAGCGTGGTGTCGAAGTATGGTACTGTTGTGTTCGCCCAGGAGGTCTTGGTTCCTGAACTGCTGGAGATGTTGGTTCAGGAGGACATGGGAGTTGATGCCAAAGGGGCCCGCCGGATTCTGAAGGAGAGCAACAAGATCGGGAATTTGCTTAATCTTGAGTGAATCAGGAACATGTAGTTATTGGTTAACAGTATTACTGTAGCATATTGATTTAACGCAACCCAATGATCAGCATTGTACTTGGTGTTAGAAGATCAACAGAGCCCAAAAGTCAGCCAAAGACATGATGTAGTAAAAGACAACCAAGAGCACTTCACGCTATCAATACACTGAATCTTCATTAGTTTACAGCATCTGAGTTATAATGTGCATCTTTAGCTTAAGCGTACGTCTGGGTTTCTAGGTATCGTTTACCAACATTATCTGGGTCATCTACCAGCCTCATCCTGGTGAGGCTTGGTCGGCACTGAACCCCGCCTGGGAACTGGTCAATGATATTTAATCTCAGCAATCTCCGCTGTTTTTTCCCTTTCCCCTTCTTTTCCTTCACAGTGACGGCGCCCACCTGATCGCATTCTACCCACATTATCTTTCATCGCTTACATGCGAAGTTCGCCGTCAGATCTGCCTTCTCCACAGTCACCATGACAGTTAATCCACCGCGCCTCCCACCTGATATTAATACACCCTGTGCCTATTTCTGACATTATAAAAGGGCGACCTGCCGTTAAAAGGCAGACGTTCGAACTTCACCCTGCTGCCTTTCTTTGCGATACTCTCAACTACTTTTGTATGACTTATCTAATAAAACATGCCACCGAACCCTCTTTGTGGACAATTGAGCTCCCTTGCTGAAAAAGCGAGCTTGGTAGCTGAGAAATTTGAAAGCGATCACGATTTTACCAGTGACCAATATGAAATTTTGGAGACTCTGACCTCGAAGTTATCCGAAGCAATCGCTCGAACTACAGTGTTGATCCAATCGAAGAGGGAAGCACATTTTGCAGAGCATAATCGCTTTTTCTCACAAATGCTATCAGAAAGGGACGATCTCATCGAAAGCGGGCAGTTACCCAACAAAACAATATTCAGAAGAAACATCAAACTCATATTCCATGGCCCGAATCTTCAAGGTCTTTCATATATTCACAAAGAACATCTGCTTGTTTCCTAGGGAGTGTCGAAAAGTAGTCTCGCCATTGGGTCATGGTTTAGCATGGCTTCAATTTAACGCAGTTCTCCAAATCATCCTTAGTCCGTTGCATCACCCACCGCCCGTTTTCTCACCTCGTTGGGAGACGGCATCTTACGTCTCGTTTTCGGTACAGGAGGCTGCTCTTCACCATCGGTTTGCGCTCGGACAACATATTTACTCCGCCGAGTCTCGAGCAACGAAGGCGAGCTGGTGGTGTCGATTTCGGCAGGATCAGAGTCACCGGTTACAGCTCCAAAACGACTGCTATAGCGCCTGTCGGCGAGATGCCGAAGAGCTTCTTCCGTCATTGAGCCGACCAATTGCGCTGAATTGCCTTTAGACAGTGCTCTTTTAATATCAAATAGGTCCGCTAAAGTAGTCACCACTACTTGATCACTGTCCCCATCGGCAATGACCTCCCCAATTCTATATATTTTCTGACGTGAAACTTCGCTAGCCACCTTGCACACCTCTAGGCACTGCTTTGAAATATTGATATCTTCCTGTAATCGCAATCTCTCATTGTCCTTTCCAGAGTCTCCATTCCGGATCAGCGACTCTAGACGTTCCCGAAGGCGGCCGGTGACCTCTTCGAAGCTATCTCGATTGTCATTCAGAGCTCGGCGTGTGAGCAGTTGCGCTTCGAAGTAATTGTGGATATCATTGTCAGAAGCGTTTTGAGGTACCTCTTGCAGTAGAGAAGATTCTCGGTTTGCCAAGGACTCGATGTAAGACCTCGCGTCATCACAGACACGAAGGCATTGTTTGGTCACTTCTCTTTCGTCTTTCAGGTCTATGGCTATGTCTGAGGTGTAAGCGTTTTGGGAAGTAAATTGCGCCATTTTCTCATCGATTCGCTGTAAGTGGACCTCAAGATTGTATGCTGTGTCCTGGATCATTTCATTATATTCTTGAAGCACTCGGTGGGAAACTTTGGAGGTATGCCTTACGAAAAGATATTAGAAGAGTCTGCAAAAAGAGGAGGAGTGGCAACTCACATAGTAATAGTGCCTAGGCCGACTGAGATTGTTGACTTATAACCTGCGATAGTGTCTATAAACTCATTGATATCGCCTTTCATAAATTCCATTTTTGTCCAATCTCGAAAGCCCATCTTTGATTTCCCACTGAAAATCTTCATTGATTGTTCGAACTCGCGGCATACTTGGCTGCATCGATCAATAGGACCTTGAAGAAGCGCCAATATTGACGTCTCATTATTGGTCACCTGTGCCAATGAGTCCAAAAAATCTTGGTGAGATCCTCAAGCTCATCTTGAAGCCTACGCAACGTTTTGTTGCGATCTTTGAAGTGTTGAACGGTTTCATAGAGCGACTTCGCGGACTTCACGGCAGCGGTAATAACAGTCAGGACCGAGGCAGTAATGCTTAAAGGATCCGCCATTTCAACGTTCGCTGCGAGATCTCGGTAACCTTCCTTGGTAGAGTTGTCGCAGGAAGTAAAAATAATTTCCCGCTACAGTGAGGGCAGCGACGAGCTCAAATACCAGCCTCAATTTCGGCCATGCCCCCTCTAGGCACGTGTGATTTGCACAAGTTAGCGGGGCTGTCAACCAACACACTGGTGCCCCGCTATTCAGTGAATGGTTTCGGAGCGAGTGTAAGGCTCTTGAGGTACATTGGCGGCGCATTTGCACAGCTGGTTTCACGAGAGCGAAGGATGACTCAGCGTACATTAATCCTAAATGGGAATAGCCGACCTTCCTCAAAATACGATTTCAATCCCCCTGTTTTGTTCGCGCTTATTACCATTCCGTCGCGATCGATAGGATTCATCTTCACCTGGTTCCTTGCTCGGCGGCTCTATTCTGTTCCCACATTTGGGAATAGGTTTGAACACTAAATATCTGGTGGTGACCGCAGCCCAAAGGTATTGTTGGTTTCCAGAAGCTTTTTAATGCACACGATAGTGAACCGAAAGCTCTCAACTGCCTGATACAGTGATTTGCTTGAGTTAAAAGCAAAACCCCGCCAGGGGTGATGACATTGGAAGCAAGGGAGACAGGTTCCGCCATTGAGCCAGTATAGGTTTCTCGAAATCAGGTCAGGGAGGAGGTTGCGAGTTAGGTAAGGGGGTAGGGAATCATATGATTCATCACGTGGTGTCTCGAGCACAGGATCCAAATAGGCTCTTACGATGGCTAGCGATGTTTACACAAACCACCTACCCTTATGAGACGCTGGACCGAGATTTGAGATACAGTGGTTAAATTCCGCTGTACATCTGCCGACAGAAAAATACACAGCTACGCTGCCCACTAAAAATCTGCTTGGATCCCTGAATGTTAGCTGCGCCCCCTGCGCCCCCCTTCCTGTGGCTCCCTGCACTGCCAGGCTAGCCTTGCCTTTGCGGCAGTTATAACTATAAGACCCCTAACCACCATGTAAAATTTCTCCTGCCGTATGTGCGTCTTCTCCCGTTTCCCCATTTCTACCATTTGGCAAACAACCACCTCATCATCGTTCCTATTAACTGGTCCACCTCATTACCGCAGTTCACGATGGATCTTCCTGCTCCAGAATGATCCTTCATAATCCTGCAAGCAGAAATTGAGGATCTAAAAGCTCGGCTCCGCAAAGTCGAAGCTGAGATCCATCAGCTACGATACCAACAGGACACAGGTTTCCCTCTCATGGAACTGCCACCTGAAATACGGATACTTGTTTGGAAGAATCCGCTACCCAATCAATTTGTTCTTTGGCATAAGAGAATAACGGGCAAGTGGATATAAACACCGGGAAAAAATGTTCTGCTCTGCCCGCCCGCCGGTACTTCTCCACATATGCAGAGAATCTCGCGAAGTTGCTCTCGCCCATTTTAGGCCTTTCTTCAGCGAGATATGTGGAAGCAAAATGCCTAGACCCATATACTTCCGCCCCAAGCTCGACATTTTATACATCGATGTCATGTTCCCAGACGAAATCACTTCGGAATACCCTGAAGTAAATGAAATCGAGTCGATAGCCATCCCAATCCGGTCTCCCAGAAACCTAGACCTGTCAGGCAAGATGACAGGCATGAAGAGCCTTTTTTTGGTTACAGCCTTGGAAGAGCCATGGCCATGGAATCGGTGCTGTTCTACTATCGAATTATCACCCAATCCTGATCACAAGGAAAGGGAGTTGGAATGGACCGATTACATTTCCATGATCAGGCGCTATGAGCGCAACTTTCCCAACCGTCCCAAAGTTCCCAACATAGAACACGTTGAAGCCGTTGTCGGGAAGCTCGTCTGTAACAATTGCTACTTGGACTGAGCCAGACTAGGATGGCGCTGGCTTTTCCTACCTCATGGGAGACGACAGTCTCTCCTCTCAAAATCCGGCTCCGAACCAAGCACCAAACAAACGAAAAGGCTCTCCACCACAGGAACTTCCTCGGAAACTTCTGAAAGGCAAGCCAAGAGATCTCTCCCTTCCCGCCATCGTGAGCTCGGGTGATCGGGCGCAGCAGGCGCTTGTAGTCCGAAATGAATCTCCGTGGGACACCTTCAGCAGAGTCTATGAGTGCGAATTAGCAGGATCGGTGGCCGTGGTGGAACACATTGTCCGCCCCTCTACCGTTCTCGCCGGGAGTTTCCAAAAGAAGCGATCGACGAGACATTGGACAGATTCAAACGTATCCGACACGACAACATCATTCTCGCCCTGGAATGCTTTGGAGGGTACGTGTATAGCTGTGGCAGTCTCTTTGTAGCAGCCGTTGGGATATTCTCGCTCAACGGCATCCATGTTTTCTCGGCCTTGACTTCGACTTCGACCTGCGAGTTGGCGGCGGGGTGCGATGCTTCAGCTTGGTGGAGGCTCCTTGGGTAGGGTGAATTTATTGCGATGGACCGTCACATGATACATAACGGAAATCTCCCTTTACCATGGGATGAAGTGGCCACTTCCGGTGCGCCCCAAGCCGGTGTCTCTCCACGGAGTAGGAGTGGCTGGTTGAAAAGGATCCTGGGATCTGCGCGCGAGAGGGCAAGTCAATGGGAGATCGCGCAGGGGGCAGTGGTTGGTCAGGATCTTCATCTGTTGTAATGTGTCAATTTCAGTCCTGATTTGTTTTGTACTATGCCTGTCTTGATTGTTTTTCTTTGTTTGTTTCTGTTCCCTTCGTTTGATCTTATTTTGCTTCTCATATTGATATTGCCTATCACATTCCCGCCCATGGTATGGCATTTTCTTTGTGTGTTCCTTTGTTCGTGTCTTCATTCGTTTGCTCTTCCCCCTCTTTTCTTTGTCTCTCACTTAAGTTTTTCTTCGAACCATTTCAGCTATTTGTCTAGCTCTGGAGAGAAGTATAAAAACCTCCCCGGTTCTGGATCTCTCTCTCTCGATATATTTTAACCGTGATAAATCATTACTCTGCAAATCGACTGGAAATTTGCGTCCCAACAGAAACCCTTTCGCTCTTCTCACTTGCAATTGGAAGTTTTAAAGCATTCGCCGCAATGCTGAATGCCGACCATGGCGTGCGAAAACCTTTGTCAACCTCCTCAGACGTCAAGGGCGGCGATACGTCTCAGCAAGACGAAATCATGGAGATCCATAGCCAGGTGCTTGAGATGATGAAAATATTTAAGCGGACATAGAAACACGGAGTAAAGAACAATATGATGCCGATCTACGGGCCTCCGTGAGAGAAGATCTGGATGCAGCGCGTAACATTTGAGTGCCAGTAAGCAGTATTTACCTATCTAGTGGGCTTTATTGCTGATCGTTCAGCAAGGTACGTCGAAAATATGAGTAATGAATGGAAGGAAAGGGACATCGAGTTATTGAGATTGTTGGTTCCCTGCTGTGGCTGTCTGTGAGATAAAAATCAGACGCGGAAGACAAAGTGACTTTTTCTGAAACCCAATTGTTATTGCTGGTTGATGTGTAATTCAGGTACGAGTTGCTGTTACTGGATTCTAGACCTAAACATTCGGGTCTTTCCACGCTTGCTATGTAGCTTAGTTGTGAAAATTAAAAATATGATAGGAAAATTGATTGGTGAAATATCGATCCACAGGCAAAAGGAAGAACAATTTAACCAAGGAAGGCAACAGCACCTTCTTCACGCTGTTTCTCAAGGGCCCGTTTGCAACTCTCCTCAACACTGTTTTAGCACTCCGGCGCTACTCTGGGACCCTGAGATACGCCCAGTCAAGCCATTGTTATTACAGGGTCGTTTCGACATGCCCACCTGATGAAGTGGCCTTTTCAAGGATCCAACCCGCTTTTTCATCGGGCGCCTGTCTATGTCGGACCGGTGAAAGTCTATGATCAGGACCCGGCGCAGCTCGTCATTCCATAACATGTTGGCAGACCGCAGGTCTTTATGTACCACTCCCAGCATGCGGATTTCCTTCTTCGACCTGGAAATCTCACGACTTAGCACTTCCTTGTCTTTGACGTTCTCTATACTTTCCCCCGCCCAACCCATGAGAAGCATATGGCGGATGTCCCCAGCACCATGGAGGAAAAGGAAAAATTTCAAATCAATCCTCCCCAGGAATACAGGGACAGCAGAACCCTGTGCTCTCTGAAGAACCCGATATATTTCTGCTTCACGTGAGACAACTTTCCATAGCCCGGATGTTGTCCCCTTTCCAACAAGAGTGTAGCCATATGCAGCACAGGTGATCTTGAAGGGTGCACCATACGATCCACAAGTCCCAAATGGTGTGCAGTTATGATCAAGGTCACGATCGAGCTGTTCTTTCAGCAGTTGCACAAGCTTCCTTGCATCGATACAATGTCGATCACCATTCTGGCCTCGCCGGTGGAGAGAAAAATTAGGGCATTGATGGTCCAATTCACCTCCCTGTTGCAAACCCAATAAGCATCGCTGCGTACAGTAACGTGCCGTGTGTTGGCTCTGGCCGCTCGATGGCCTAGGACCTGCTGGGCGCGCCGATGAACGCTGGCTGGGCGGGGAGGATATTACTTGGCTGAAGCCCCGCTTCCGGCCGTGCGCTGTTTGGTTAGAGTCGGAGTCGGAAGAATCCATATGATCACTCAAAGGCGAGGTATCCATTGGTGCACAGGTGGTTTGAGATCGGGTACAAACTCGATGGGCCGGGCTGTAATGGAGACGATGGCAGATGTTCAGAGGGCATATATTTCCGAGCTTGGCATATTCCGATCCTGGGAGGGAGTTTTGTTGCAGCTCGTCATCGGGGATTTGCGACCGTGTAAAGTCAAAACTTGTCTTCCATATATGGAGCTGGGATCTTGCAGCATTCCGCCACTTCTGGTCACGGATATCCGAGAGAAAGGACATCAGACAGAGACATAATATTCTGGCAATAGCTGTTTTTGACTGATAAAAGACCCCAGGATTTTCTGAAATCACATCCATGTTTGGTTCACAGAGATAGTAATAGAGCGTACTAGGGTCGTTGTATGGAACACGAAGAAGAACGATAGCAAATCCATTAGTTATGTAGGAGTACTCCAGTCCAGCTTGGATCATGACATGATACTCCTGAACCAAAACTGAGCAAGTCAGCTGTTCCGCATTATATCTCAGCTTTTCATCCTTGTTCAGCTCATCACTCTTGGGGATTGTGTCTGACTGAACAATCTCTTCCCAGAGCTTCATCGATCGAAGACCCGCTCGGAGATTTTCAACCGAGAGCTTGTGTGGCGGCTTATACTCGACTGTCGTAATCAAAGTATTGGTGGAATCGTTGATTCGATGAATACAGAATGAATCTGGTTTGGGATGTTTTGTGCCGGATTCATCAAGCAGCTGTACATCTGACTCTTCTGATGTCTGTAGAAGATTTTCATGATTTTCAAACAGGATCCCATCGCCAAGCCGGAATCTCTCTCGGGCATCAGGTATTTTGCATAGCTCGGTTATGATATCTTGGACATGGTCTTCCACTGCAGCTCGTTCATAGTTCTCCAGATCCTTTTCACTTCGTAGTTTTCGACTAGAATACCGCCGACCAAGTCCCTCTAGCTCAAGAAGAGATGTGAATAGCCGAGGTGCATCTTTTCCAGCTGGTTGGAGGTAAGTGGAAACCACATCATAAATTTCTTGCAGTTGAACCGGACAACTTGACCAAAGGCGAAGGCTCGTTGGGCAGTATTTCCCAGTGGGTGGTGGAATACTCCCCTTCGTGGAGCGGGTTGGCGTTCCAACCTGCAAAGGCCGGGAGAATGAATCATGACAACCTTTGATGAGCTCTTCTAGTGTTGTCGGCTGGCTGCGCACTCTCCCCTGTGCTTCCCGCTCTTCTGCCTGCCTTCGCAACTCTGCTTCCCGTGCCTCTCGCTCTTCTGCCTGCCTTCGTTCCGCTTCCGCTCTACGGTAGAGAGACTCGTAATCTGGTGAACTGTTATCGGACATTAGAGAGGGATACAGAGTTATGTCAAAAAGCGAAAGTGGGTACCAGGAATTGACTGGCATAGAGATAGGGCGGCGATAATCCTGAAGTGAACGAGAAACGAGAAATAATGCCAGCCACCTCCCCCAAAATAACACGGATCAACGTTTACCCGCACATAGAACACGCGAGCCAACTGGTCGTATCTGACAAAACAGCGAACTGCCCCCCGGTTGACTAACCCGCTCACTAACCTTGTTCTAGGGGTTGCAAGGTCACGCCGAACTTCTTTTTGGGGTATAGCGTACCTACAGGGAAGGCACATTGCGCCGCATGGCGAAATCAATGACATATGCTAATTTTATGTGGTGTCGGAGTCACAAAGTGGGGCAAAAATGGCTCATTTTGGACTTCATGTGCAACCTGGAGTGCCACGTGATACCCAGAAACAATGGCAGAAAAGATTTACCGCCCAATGCCCTTCCAAAATTTTATTTTTGTTTCTGCTGCTGAACCATACATATCAGATTTGACATCATAGTAAGTCAGTGTGATATTCAATATTTATTCTAGTCGCTAACTGATACCAGAATAATCCTGAAAATAATACCACAAGCTTTCGCGCCGCTATCACTACCAGTAAAGCCCAGATAGCTCACTGGGAATAGATGCTGATATATATAATCAAAGGAGGAATATGGTCAAAGGGCTGATCCGGCTGGCTTTGATGCAGTACGCGCGAGTGGGAACGGATAGAGCCACCGAGCAAAACCGGGTGGAGATTAATTCTATTCAATTGCGACGGAGCGTTATTTTTGAGAAAGGCCGGCTATTCCCATTTAGGATTAATAGAAGCCGATCTCCAGAGCGAGGGCTCAGCCATATGAGGCGCATGGGAAGCAAGCAAGAAATTGCAGTTTGATAGATAATATATGGTGTGGAGTGAATTTCTAAGGCCAGCACCAAACAAAGGGCACGTATTAAGATTGAGGGGAAATGTTGATCCGGCTGGCTTTGATGCAGCACGAGCAGCTTGGGCATCGAAACGAATTTCCGGCCGAAAATTAGGCAAATCCTTGACACGTCACCAGACAACTAATTCAACAAAAACTGTCCACCGGATGAACCATGTAGTTATCATATTGCCTTTGGCGGTTGCGTCGGGTGAGGCAAACCTCCGCGAAGTTCTATGACATATCAATCATCTACCACTAAAGAAAGAACAAATGGACATACTAGGACATTTATTGAGCACTTGTGACTAGAACATAAGTAGGTCTTGCGCTCCCATCTTGACCGCATTGTCTCAATAGAGACGATGTCAAGTACTAACCACATCTCACTCACAGGAGTATTCGCAGCTGCTTTGGAATTGATCGGTGATTTTGAGAAGTTCAAGCGTCGCAGAGCTGGATTTCGTACTTGGCACTGAGGACGTCATTTATCACGTGATGAGGGGCTATTTTGATTTGGCACTAATGCCCCTCCAGATAAATAATTCAACGACCTCATCGAAAGTTCACAATAACATATCAAGGTTCGCACTTCATCATTTGCCTAGATCCCCAAAATTTAAACTTGATTCTGAAATAAAAAAATGTGCGCTTGTCTTCCTAGCCTTCTTATTCAATACTGATCGTTTCTGAATTTAGAAATACTGATTGCATTCACCCGAGTACGCAACGAGTTAGCGCCATGCCGCACACCAGTTCTATCACATATCTACCGCTTCCGAGCTGGCTAGAAGCCTCTGTCGAAGAAGCACGAAGCGCAACTTCCAACACAGTGGTCTCTGATTCACAACGATGGGCTTTTGAATTTGAACTACCTGTTAATGAGGGTGTTAAACGGGTGGTGGATGAGGCGAAGAAAGTCTATCTGGTGTGCAGCAACACTCTTCGGGAATATTGATAGTATTCTAATTGTACATAGGAAAAGTCGTCATCCGAGGTTTCTTTCTTATCTTCGCACGGGGCTGTTTTTAAAGGAAGTTGGAGATCAGGGGGACTAGTTGACACTATAATTGTTCCACTTATGGGTTATGACGCGGAAGTGACTGCAAAAAATGAAGACGGGAAAGAGATAAAAGTAGATTGGAATTGGAATAATGCCATACTTGTGTCAAGGCATACAGTTTTCAGAATTGAAGGAGAAATGAAAATTGGCGCTGTGATTATCACACTAAGGCGGTAATTAAGGATAAAAATGTATGCTACATTGGTTATTATTTAAGCATTACAAGCTTCTGAGCGAAACGATGAAGTATGGTGGCTTTGCAGAGATCCATTGTTGTCCCCATGTGAGTGAACACTGCCATAACCTCGGATATTGACCGTGTTCAACTGCGGCTGAGAGGCAGTTGTTGTTAGCAACTGAGTGTCAAACATATGAGTTTCAGTGTCAAGGCCGCCGGACTGTGTTGCCCAGTAGTCGTCAGGCTGCGCTGCCCAGTAGTCGGTGCATGGCATGTAAGTTTCAGTGGGCGAAGTGACGATGTCGTCAGGCTGCGCTGCCCAGTAGTCGGTGTTTGGTATGTATGGTTCAGCGGTCGAAGTCGTACGCACCAACTGTGAGAAAGATCGACCGACCGCATTTTGAGCTGTATCTTCAACTAAATTTCGCCGGTAATCCGCTGGCAATTCGACCGTGGACAGGTCAACCATTTCGTTTTGATTTGGTTCAACGTGTTGCGCAGAAGATATTGAGCTTGTTGAGGATGCGGCATCGGTTGCAACATCAACAGTGCTGCGTCTGTTTTCTTGATTTGAGGTACCCGAGTGGTTAACCGGCGTTTGATGTGCAGGGTCGTTGGGATCTAAAACAAAACATGTTAGTGTCTGTAGAGAAGCGAAGAGACCATTTAAGTCAGACCTTTATTAGGGCGAATAGTACCATCATCTTCCCAGCTAAGGTAAACTCTCAATACGCTGAGCAGACGGCTCTGAGTTGTTCGAAGTTCGCGATAAGTATATCCATAAGTAATTAGCCCCTCAAGTATGATTTTTGCTGCCGATATGCATTTCGCGAATCGATTTTGCTTAGATTGGAGAAGCCACTGAATGAATAACTTCCGTTGGTCGTCTCTCAGAGAATTTTCGCATCTAGCAATGTTAGCTAAGCTAGAAAATAAAAATGAATAAGAAGACTCACAAACTCGAAACATCATTATCCAGTTCGAAGATAATAGCTGGGCCAGCTTCTTGTATCAATCTAGTATAACTCTTACCCCGTCGCTCGCATAGTTTCACACACGCAAGAGAGCAATCCCATTCTTTTGAAACTTGTTCGTATGCCCCAGTCTTTAGTTTCTTCCCACACTCATATTTGGAATGAGAATCAATCTCGTGGACTGAATAGATTAAAGAAAGGCGGTGTGCAATAATCTGGTTGGCTATATTGTTTGCTGCTGTCGTTATAAATTTATACAAGCGTCGTCCCTTTGGAAGATTTGAATCGATGAGACCTTCAGGAGTCAAAATCGCCTTGAATGATGTTGTCGGCAAAGGTTTATCTTTAAAGGCTGCTTTTAATTTCAACCATTCGCCAGTTACTAGCCTTTTATCTTGTTTATCCACCGCGACGTTTCTTCGTCTTTTCTTGAATGGGGGAGAGCTTTGAGACACGGGTGGACTTGGAGACCCCAGAGTATTACTCTGGTTCACCCCAGCTCTTGGATTGAAAGGGGTGGAAGAACTGGTAGGGCATGGCGATAGCCATCGACCTGATGTCGGATGATAGGGATTGGAAGAGATGGAGGAACTGTTGAGACGTGAAGAACTCGTAGGGTACGTTGTCAGATACTGTTGATTCTCTATTCCCGCTGGCTGCTGATATAGCTGGCCATGGAGATTGGAAGAGATCAAAGAGCTGGGGGTGGATAACTGAGCTGCCGGCCGAATTGAAGGTAATCGTCGGATGAGCTGATCCTGCGATGGAGCCTGAGTAGGCGGTAACTGAGAGATAAGAAAATTTGCATTATTTGAAGGCCTGTATTGCGTTGGAATGAGCTTCCAACACTGCTCTGGAGCTCCCCTAAGGAAGAACTGGTGAAAGTCACGTAACAAATCCTGCTGCAACAGTCAGAAAATAGCATCTAATCTAGAAACCTTACTTACCTCTGAATCAAGAACTGTTGAGGGAGAGAGTTATCGTGTAATATTTCTGAAAGAGTGCGAGTCTCCATA